AGGTCTTATGCACTTTGATTAATTACAAAAATCAGAAAAGAAATGACATCTTCACATAAAAAGTGGATAATATGGTGAGAAAATGGGGTAATAGCAATTAAAAAAAAAAAAAAAAAACTATGCAACTACCTCAATCGACTGGTGGATAGTGTCATGAAAAGCTAGAAAGTGTTAATATCAACCCAAAGAACATTATTAAAATATCAACTAGAGAAAAAAGTCAAGGGTTACCAGGCACAAAGTAGGCCGGTTTGTGAGCCATGTCTCCCACAGTAGAACTTTCAAGTTGCTCACCTTTCACCAGTTCCCAAAAATAGAAAAAATAATCAAAGTGATTACAAATCTGCATGCTATGACATTGACATTGTTGCGTATAATTGATAAGAAGAGTTCTAATAATGGAAAAAAGGGTGTGTCAAAGGAAGAAATTGCCTGACCTTCCGAACGAAATCAAGTAGATCCATTGCATATGCAATGCCAACTATATTGTCAACACGCTGCTCAAAAACCGGTACCATGTAAATAGAAATCTTTTAACAAGTTTCTTGAAGGAGATAAAGCCTTAGAGATGAATTACCAATTCCCTACCTTGAATATTGGTGAGTCACCCACAGATGGTGAAAATCAACAAGAGTTGCACTTGCATCAATTGCAACCACGTTAACAAGGGGTGTGATGGCCTCTCTAACATGAGTATCCTTTATCTCTAATGCAGTTTCAATCATATCCTGCAAGGAATTCATAAAATTAGCACATCTGAACTGTAAACAAACAGATAAGCACCTGTTGGCAAAAAAATTAAATTGGATTTCCTCTATAATTTGGATATTTAAACAGAAATTGTTAGAGAAATATATGGCAAGAAAAAGATATGCTCTATTGTAAATGGGCAACCAGAGTCAAGCAGCAAAAGAATTCAGAAACTAAAGAAACTTTATAATTCTTATTTGCAACAAAAGAGACACTCAAGCAAGTACAATAAAGAAAAATTAGCTTATTTCACTACCTGCTCTTCCTCCTCTATTGCTCCACTCAACTTTGCCCCACATAGCATCAGCTTTAATTCATCTTCACTAACATAAGGTTCACTAATTTAAAGAGAAAGAGAAAACATGCAAAGCATTCATAAAGCAGTCAATACAAACTTACACTAACGAACAACTGGAAACAAGAAATGCAAAAGACAAATGCTTATAAATGGTGGATATGATTTCCTTATTCCCATTGATAAATAAGTAACAATTCTTCCCACTAGATGTAGCATCAAGGAAAGCCATGCCACTGGCCTGACCAATGACACAGCAAATGGCATTAGCCAAATAATTCTAGTTTGCTAGTAGTCATCAGCTAAGTAGAAAAGAGTTAAATAGCAACATAGACCATGGAGTTTTAAAGAGAAAGTTAAAGTTTTTCAGCAAAGTTTTAGTTGCAAGTTCAAGAAGAACAAGGAAACTTAAATGGAAAACTTACCACAAATCTAGCCACCTCTGTGGGATTGTGAACAGCTATACTTTTTGGAGTGATCTCAGTAAGAAGCCTGTACTCATGCTTCAGTCAGAGCTGCCTCTTCAGTTTACACTCAAAAGAGAAGCTAGTCAACAGAGCACAAATACCCAGGTTCAGACCATTTAGACTCCAATATTGGAGAATTTATGGTCCAGAGACACTGTCATATGCACAACTGACCATGATGATACTTCAGATGTTGATACTTCATCTGTGAAAAACTTTTACAATGTTAGTCTATCTAGTTATCCTGTGGTTTCCTTCCGTTTCTTGTTAATGGTGCAGTAAGAATATGACAAAGGAAAAAAAGGAGCTAAAGAAAAAGAAAACAGAATATGCAATGTAGCTAATTTCCATTATCTTATGTATCTTCAGCAACTACATAGCGATCAGAAAGGCGATTCTAGTCTCTTTTGAAATGCATTCTCAACATAGGTAATGTTATCCAATTTGTCACCGTTCCCTTTCCTTCTCGTGATTTTGGGAATCAATCGAGTTACATCTTTGGCCTCTGACATTGCTTCCCCATTGTTTATCTGCTCAAAATGAACAGCATTAAGCTTTTGGGCATTTGCAGCTAATATCTGCACCAGGGACAACATTTCACTCACATTAATCAGTAATTCAATTGTGTGATCGAGATTTAGAATTATTAGCCAATACAGTTATCACATGGAAAATTTATTTTCCAGAAAAAATGTTTAAACTTGAATGTTACACAAGAACGGAGCATATGAATTATTATTATCAGTTGCTAAGTTTCATTTAGCAAACTAAGCCACCAAATGAAGCATGTCAAAGGATGAACAATATAAAAGCAGATTCCTATATGAACAAATGCATGCCCCCATAATAACATTGATTTCAAAAAGTTACATGTAGAAGAGAGTCAAGAGACTGCATGATTACTAGCTACGTTTATTTTCTTTATGAGGTTTTTTACTGAAATCCATTCAGTGCTTTTACCCTAGCTCAAGTCTATATATTTGATGCCTTTCCTTCAAATCTTGATGATTAGATCCATCTTCATCATGCTTATCATCATCATCATCTTTGATTATCCCTTTTGAGGACAACTTTGGTGGGCTCACCAGCCCTAGGGATTTATCCAAATACTTCACATACAAAACCAGATGCTGTCTCATACTAATGTTCCTATAGAACAGCATGGTGAACAGAGAACAATGAATTAGAAATATGAAATTTAAAAGTTAAAGGAACATTTTGATAGTTATTTACAGTGTGAGATTAACTGTGCCTTTACTTCAAAATGAATTGAAAACCACATTGCAATTTTAACCATTTACTTTATCCTCTCTCCTTTTTCTTTTTCATTTGTTTTTTAATTTTTCAAGCAACGGTCACTTAACCATAATAATCCTGCAACAGTCACAATAAACAGAATTTCACTCACAACTGGGATAAAAAATATCAAGTTTCTAAGCCTGGCTATTTTTAAGATTCCTACGTTCAACTACCATGTGGCAGAGAATGAAATTTTAATGAGCCTGTGGAAATAGCAGGAGAAGTGTACAATACAAGAAATAATCAAAGGTAGAAATGATCCTAATAACTGAGTCTTTAGCTTTAATGTTTAAATTCTCCATTCAGTGCTCTATACACCATAACAATGAAAACCAGTAATAGTATAGAATAATATACCTCTATCATTTCGATATTCAAGTCCTCAGCCCATAAATAGATGTATGGGCATGAACATCATATACTCCCTCTACTATCATTACAATATAGCCAGTTTTCTTCTGGATCTCCTCCTGTTAATACAATTAGCAGCAAATGCATAAAATAAAAATCACTTGAGAATCATTATACATATGTATAAATGAATCACTTAAGAATCAAGTAGAGCTGAACCTTGTAACACTAATTGATATGAGACCTATAGAGTAAAGAAATATCTACATGACGTAAGAAGTGACATGAAATTCCTTGGTCACATGGAAAATACAGAAAAAGTACATGCCAAACTAACTGAGACTGGAAACTGGCGAAATAAAGCAGCATCTAGATCAATTGGTCTGTAGAAAATTAGCAGCACATGTACAACACCAATTTGTTTTGGACTTCATCAACGAGTTTTCTTAGCATCCCTTTGCTGAGGAATAATAGAATTCAATATCTAAAGTTATCTATATCTAAAGGGGGCAATTGCCTGGACCTTCCTAACAAAATCAAGTAAATCCATTGCATATGCCATGCCAACTATGTTGTCAACAAGTTGCTCAAAAACAGGTACCCTGTAAACAAAAATCTTTCAACAAGTTTCTTGAGGGAGACAAAGCCTTAGAGATGAATTACCAATTCCCTACCTTGTGAGTCACCCACAGATGTTGGAAATCAACAATAGTTGCACTTGCATCAATTGCAACCATTATCGACAAGGGGTGTCATTACCTCTCTGACATGAGCATCCTTCATCTCTAATACACTTCCAATCATATCCTGCAAGGAATTCATAAAGTTAGAGCATCTGAACTGTAAACAAGCAGAAAGACACCTGTTGGTAAAAAAATTAAATTGAATTTCCACTAGAATCTGATTTTAAAACAGAAATTGGTAGAGAAATATATGGCAAGGAAAAGATATGCTCTACTGTAAACGTGCAACAACAGTCAAGCATAGATGATTCTGATCAATCAGCTTTTATTCATCTTCAATAACATAAGGTTCGCCAATTTAAAGAGATAACATGCAAAGCATTCATAAAGTAGTCAATACAAAGTTAACAAACAACTAGAAACAAAAAATGTAATAGACAAAAACGAGAATTTGATTTCCTTCACCTTTTCCCTTTTAGACCAAGTAATTTAAGCATTCCCATTGATAAATAAGTAACAATTCTTCCCACTGGATATAGTATCAAGGAAAGCCATGCCACTGGCCTGACCTAGTGACACGACAAATAGCATTAGCCAAAAATTTTAATTTGTTAGCAATCATCAGCTAAGTATAAAAGAGTTAAATAGCAACATAGACACACAGAACTGTGTGTCTATGTTAATTTAACACCAGCTTCTCCAAATATTGCAGTTGCTGTGTCTACAACTAAAGCAGTTCCTCCAATATTGACCACCATAGTGACAAAAACAGAATCTAAAAATAAATCACACACCAAAGTTAAACATGGACACACACAACTGGATCAGTTAAGTGATGATGGGAAAGACTAGTAGGTTACATCACTGTGAAGCACTTGAAATACACCATCTTCACTCTTTTTCAGCCAGCTTACGAACCTGACACAAATTAGCATCGAATTACCAATGAGACCAAAGTATCCCGATGGCTTGGTGACATTAAAAAAAAAAAAATCTTGTTCTTCCATGAGTTAATATGAACGACATGAACATATAAGAAACCAGCATCATCCTCCAAACCAAACAAGACAATAGTATTACTGCTGCATGAACTTCACAATCACGATTTGAAATAGCATATTAGATTAATCTTTGCTAAATTTAACCCAATATTTAAGTCGGCAAATGCCATTGCACAACAACCACAAACTTCCTATATTTTTCTAAACCATAAAAGTTACTGAAACACTAACAATCAACAACTGTGAATGTTCTTCAACTTCATATATTTATCTTTTTCAACTTTTTTGATGTTTCCATACTGAAACTCAGATTTCAATTGCTATTCACTAATTATAAGAACCATCAATCTTCAAACAAAGAAAGCAAACCTTACATGGCCACAGTGTACTTATTGAAGTCTCTGCCATTGAGAAGAATGCAGATAAACCTAAAAGTGCAGTCAGAATCACACCTTGCTCTTTGAAAATCTTAAGAATCATAGAAACCTTAGGCCACGCATTCCTCAACAACAATGCCCACTGCTCAATCACTCCGTACTTTGCATTCACCACTCCCTCCACCGCGAGCACTCTCTTGCATGCGAAAACCAAAAGACAACAAAGCATTGCCCCAATAAAGACTTCCAGCTTCAGCAAAATCTTTAGAGTTCCACGATTATGAAATGATTCCATCAAAACAAAATCCCACCTCAAAATTCAAGCTTATCCTTCAGCCTGACAATGTAAAGCAATAATTTTTATGACCGTGCTAATGGAAATCTCAAGAACAAAACTGTAATGAACAAAACTTGAGATACCTCCATTGCCTATTTTCAAAAAAAAATAAAAAAAAAATAAAAAACTTGAGTTACCTTCACTACTCATTTGATACCAACCGGCTTAAGGAAGCTCATTAATAATAATAAAGAAAGATTAACAGCTTGAACCTTCAAATATATTTTACAATAAAGAAAGACAAATTTACAAAGCATGATAAAGGCAAGAGAAGGCTGACAATTTTAGACAAGCCAATGCCAGCCATAACAAGAACTTCAAACCCGAAAAGCACTTATTCAGGAAACATTAAATCAGAAGCTCTAAAACATCAACTCTGCAACTAGCTTCTTCTTTGAACAAGTCTTCTCGCTTTCCTCATCTTCCTTCCACTTTGACTTGGTCGGCCATCAAACAAAGACACAAACCATTTTGGTTTTCCTGTTCGGAAGACATGATATCCCATCAGCAGTCCAAAAACAACTCCACATCCATAGCCTAACACCACAACTCTCCAGCCAAATCTCCACAACGCATCTTTTTCTTGGAAGGAGCTCGGCGATGTCCCAATTCCATCACAAGATTTTGACAATGGGATTCCACATAGTCCAAGGTTTCCTTCATAAGAACCATTTTCAAAGGTGTTGAACTGACTGCCCTGCAGTATGCGCCCGACAAGATGATTATTTGAAAGATTCAATACAGAGAGTTGTGTCAAATATACCAATTCATCAGGAATTTTCCCTGCCAACTCGTTGGAAGAGAGATCCAACCATTCCAGATTCGTCAAATTCCCTAGTAACGGTGGGATATGACCAGTAAGGTTGTTATGAGAGAGATTAAGCCCTTTGAGAGAACTAAGCTTTCCAATAACATCTGGAATTTCTCCCTCAAACTTGTTATTTGAGAGATGAATACTACTGAATACAGTCAAGATTCTTTGCAGCTCATACTCGAATCCCTTCCATGTCACAACCAGTGAATATTGATAAGAATTGGCTACCGTCAACACAATCATGTATTTAGGGGAACCACCATCTTTATGAGGGTCCATCATCGCATTAAAATTTTCAATGTACCGAACAGGCAAAGCACCAACAAAATAATTGCTGGAGAGGTCCAGAACTCGCAACTTGGGAAAAGATGGACTTTCTTTGGTGCTCTGCACAGAACCGTGGAACTTGTTGGACCTTAAGACAAGCACTTGAAGGTCTGGTAGAGATTCCAACCAATGAGGGAATGTATCACTTATGTTGTTGTTGCCAACGTCTAGAACCTCTAACATGCGACAATTCACCAAAGACCTTGGTAATAAGCCATCCATTTGATTTCCATGTAAGTTGAGATTTCGTAATCCACAGCCCTTTGGAAACCCAAATGCTATATTTCCATCAAAGTAATTGGCCTGCAAATTCAACACTGAGAGAGACTTAGGAAGACAATTTGGAATCTTCCCGATTAAGTTGTTATGAGAAAGGTCAAGAATTTCGAGATTTTGAAGTGCCGAGAACATGCCAGGTACTACTTAATCACTAAAATGATTTGATGATAATTTGAGATAACTAAGTTGTACTAAATTAGCAATTGAGTTAGGAATTAAGCCCTGGAGTTTATTGTTTGACAAATCTAGGTGAGTGAGTGAGTTTTGCTGGAATTGATTTATTTGACCTTGAAATTGGTTATGATTGAGATACAAGTACTCTAACAAAGGTAGGGTGAAAATCCAAGGTGGCAACGTGCCATTAAGTAAGTTATAAGAAAGGGAGAGAAAACTAAGTTGTGTGAGGTTTGCAAGTGATGATGGGATTTGTCCACTAAGATTGTTAGAATCGAGGTATAGGCCAGGAAGTTGCCCTAAGTTACCTATGGAAGCTGGAATGGGACCAGAAAACTGATTATTGGAAAGGTCAAGAGAGGGAAGTTGGGTGAGGTTTGCAAGTGATGATGGGATTTGTCCACTAAGATTGTTAGAATAGAGGTGTAGACTAGTAAGTTGGCATAAGTTACCTATGGAAGCTGGAATGGGACCAGAAAACTGATTATTGGAAAGGTCAAGATAGAGAAGTTGGGTGAGGTTTGCAAGTGATGATGGGATTTGTTCGCTAAGATTGTTAGAATAGAGGACTAGGCCAGTAAGTTGCCTTAAGTTACCTATGGAAGGTGGAATGGGACCAGAAAACTGATTATTGGAAAGGTCAAGAGAGGTAAGTTGGGTGAGGTTTACAAGTGATGATGGGATTTGTCCGCTAAGATTGTAAGAAGAGAGGACTAGGCTAGTAAGTTGCCTTAAGTTACCTATGGAAGGTGGAATGGGACCAGAAAACTGATTATTGGAAAGGTCAAGAGAGGTAAGTTGGGTGAGGTTTGCAAGTGATGATGGGATTTGTTCGCTAAGATTGTTAAAAGAGAGGACTAGGCTAGTAAGTTGCCTTAAGTTACCTATGGAAGCTGGAATGGGACCAGAAAACTGATTATTGGAAAGGTAAAGAAAGGGAAGTTGGGTGAGGTTTGCAAGTGATGATGGGATTTGTTGGCTAAGATTGTTAGAAGAGAGGTATAGGCTAGTAAGTTGCCTTAAGTTACCTATGGAAGCTGGAATGGGACCAGAAAACTGATCATTGGAAAGGTCAAGAGAGGTAAGTTGGGTGAGGTTTGCAAGTGATGATGGGATTTGTCCGCTAAAATTGCTAGAAGAGAGGACTAGGCTAGTAAGTTGCCTTAAGTTACATATGGAAGCTAGAATGGGACCAGAAAACTGATTATTTGAAAGGTCAAGAAAGGTAAGTTGTGCGAGGTTTGCAAGTGATGATGGGATTTGTCCGTTAAAATTGTTAAAATAGAGGCTTAGGTCAGTTAGTTGAGATAAGTTCCCTATGGAAGCTGGAATGGAACCTTCCAAGTTGCAGCCAAGACTCAGAGACTGTAATGACTTTAGATCTCCTATAGACTCTCACAATCGCCTTCCGCAACCCATATCACCTAAATACAACCGTTAGAGAGGACTGCTCCAATTGGAACTTGGAAGATCAATAGTGAGGTTTCCCTTTCCACCCAAACTAAATCTCTTGAGATTTGGAAAGCGGAAAATACTGTTTGGAAAGTTTCCTCCTAACCAACTCTCCCAAAGATCAAGAGTAGTCAAAGAAGAAGAGAGATTCATGAAGAAACGAGGATTAACAGATGTCATGTCCACTCCACGAAGCTCAAGTTCTCTCACCTCACTCAAGTTATGAACAAGATTTTTGAAGGTAGTTGCTTCAAGGATCAATTCAAAATTGGAGAGATTGAGAGAAACTAACTTGGGGAGGTGAGCAATTTCTGTTGGAACTTGGCCCGAAAATCCAGAAAAAGAGACATCAAGATGCTTTAGTCTAGTAAACTGACTGATTTCTGATGGAATCTCGGAAAGCCAAAAATCATTCAAGGAAAGATTGAGGAAAGATTGAGGCTCTGCAGGTTTCTGAGGAAGAAAAGAGTGCTGTTGGAAGGAAAGGTGCCATAAAGGAAACTGCAGCTGAGATTAAGGGCAATTACATGGCCTGTGACATTATCACA